CGGATTATTATACTCTCTCTTTTTTTTCGTCGTCGTCGTCGTACGTAGGTACGTCGCGCGATAATTGCACCCGATGCACGGATTAAAATCCTCTATCTAGCCATCGATGCCAGTCGGCTATGTACTCATTGTCTTTTGCCGTTCTGTTCAATTGCGCGCGCGCGCGCACACGAGCTTTTTTCGTCGCAATTCTCGTTAGTAAGTAACGCTGCGTCGTCCTCCGCCCCCCCCCTCCGCTACACGTATACGTAGTCTCGATTCTATCTCGCATTTTGCCATGTGCGTGAGCACAAACGATTTGAGCAAATAAAATATCGAGCGCAAAATTAATGCTCGCGCATCTCTCTAAAACTAAAGCTCTATCGTTAGAGCATACGTACACGGCTCCAAATGAATACATATATTTTTTTCAATTCCGTTTCGCGTGTGTCCGATACCTTTTCGATGCGACGACCGTCGATGCAGCGAAGATTTTAAAGAATAATAAGCGCGCGGAGAGTATATATTTTATTTATCCATATCGCGATGCACGTACACCGCGTTCTGTAGCTGCGCGAGAGTTGAAATAAAGCTCCGCGTTTGACTTCAAAAAAAAAAAAAAAAAAAATTATCCGGCATGCACAAATGTTGCAGAAAAATGTGTGTGCGGGTGTATGTGTATGTATACTATACTCTCGTAAAGAGCAGCTCAAGCAGCTACGCGACACAGACGCAAAGTCTGGACAGAGAGGAGGAGGAGAAAAAGAGATGAAAAATACTGGTTGCTTTTGTAGTAAAATTCCGGACTGGAATCAAAGTAAAACTTTGCTACACCCTCGACTCTTGGCGTTCTCTGTCTCTCTCTCTTTCCCTTTTTTTACCCACTCCCTCTTCCCTCTTCTCTCTCTCTTTCTCTCTCTCTCTCTCTCGCTCTTTTCCTCTTTACTACTGTTCAGTGGCTGCATTTTTAGGGATGAATTCTGCTACCGAATCAAGCTTAGTACGATATTCTTTTTTTTTGGTCTCGCTCGCTCGCATTTTCTTTTCTACTTGAATATGCACCCGTTAAAGAAGACCTTATGCACGCGTGTAGCCAGTAGTCGCGCTCGGCGAGCTTAAAGCGATTATGAAAATGAAATGTTCCTCGCAGATTTAATTTAAAGCGCGAGAGTGGCGGAGAGCGCGATGGAGCGTTGCAAATGGAGCGCGCGAAAAACTATAACGCGCGCGACAAATCCAATCTTCGAATTATTCATAAAAAAAGAGCTCACTTTTGACGAACGAATAAATGTTCGATGATGTTGTCCCCCACGCACTGGAGGGTGACGTTTCGAGCGCGCGAGCTTCGAGTTGAGAAATCTTCTCTCGTCGTCGTGGAGACTAAATCACGGAGGAAAATAGACGGATTTGTATATAACCATATAGATTTTGAGGATTGTGATCGAACGTTGTCGTTAGTCGTAAAGTTAGTAGCGGACGTTTTAACCTTGATTTAATAAATTAATTAATTTTTTTTTCTAGACTGAAGTAGATTTCTTTTTAGTTTTACAATCGTAAAGTAAAAGGTAGGAAAATTTACTCCTTAAAAATTGAATCCGCGCAAAAACCATCAGATACTAATGGGTCTTCGCGCTTCTTCGAAAAGTAATTTCTGCGCGAGTATCGCCTCTTTAAAAGTAAAATTTCAGCGCGGATTACTAATAGATTTAACCATGTATAATAAATTGTTAAAGTCAATCCATCGCTAATAAAAATTTCGAACGACGAGAAAATGGTAATCGTGTGAAAACGTCTCGTTTTATTATATTCTTTTTTATTCCACGTCCATGAAACTTCCTATTTTAGTATGTTATCATACTTTAATGTATGTTTTCCGATGTAAGCTAATACTATGAGACGTCGATGATAATTATGGTCGAATTGCGTGTAATTTCAAGTTCTACCGTTAGGCGTCGTTCTCAAATCCACAAGTTTATAAATTGAATTTCTGCATAAAGCATGCTTTATTTGTGTACAAGTGCATAAAATGTGAGTTCCTCGATACAGAGATGAATGAGATGTGTGCGAAAAAAATTACGCTAGTATAATGATACATGAATTCTGCGCCAGCGAGACAATTACGTAAACATATCGGGCCTCTGTCCTATATTAGCTGGCCTGTAGTGCTCAGTAGCTCGAGCTCGTTCATACCGTCTGAGCTGAATACAGCGATCGAGCCGCGTTGATAAGCCACCTTATATATATAATATATCATTAAAGTGGCATTGATTAATCCAGTGCGTGTATAAACGAGGCGCAACGCAGTCTAGCCACGAAAGCCAGAAGGCACACGTTCTGATCTTGAACGATCGATAATCTTCGTACAAATATGATAAAATCTAATGTACTCGATGAAACATATGTAGATTCAAAAAAAAAGCTCGCTGTAGGATGCGTATATACAGTAATTATACGCGCGATGACGATACGACTCTCGATGATCGTATAATACGTCTCCGGTGTGTCCGCGCGAATGCATAATTCGTGTTCGGCTTTATATTAATGTATACACGCACACACATAGACACGGACATCGTTTACAATTATACTCGGTCGACCGACCATATACATACGATTGAGCGATGGGAATTCTAAACTAGTCCCCGCTGCGCATTTTCAGTGTCCATATATATTTGTATGTATGCGTGTAACGCTCGTTCCCAGCCATTGATACAATGTAAATTTTAATGAATTATAACGCGCTATATATATACGTATGTATATATACGCGTATTTATGCAAAGAACAAGGATTATATTAGGTATACTACTACTACTGTTGCTAGCTAGCTAGCTGCTATACATCGAACGCATCCGAGCGGCTTTGTCGGCGCTGCTGCTACTGCTGTTGCAGCGACGGCAGCCCATCGTGTGCAATTAGCAGGCATAATGGATTTCGATAGACGCACATACACACACACACACACACACATATATACACGTGGCGGTGGCAGCGGCGGAGGCTCTGGTATTATATAGAATGGATGCGCGCTCGCGGATAAATTCGCACGTTGCCTTTAACTAATGTATCTCTGGCATTAACATGTTTCTCGTCTAAAAGCTTCGCGGGTTCTGAACAGCAGCAGCAGCAGAATATGCGTAGCAGTAGTAGTAGTAGTATATCTAGATGTGTGATCTGCCAATGGAGCGATACGCGTGTGCCTCGACTCTCGTCGATATAACGAGCAAAATTAATACACTCGCGCGTACATTATTTTTTTTTCGTCTAGGCTCTCGGCGAGCTCTTGATGCCTGCCAATCGGCTACTCATCGAGCGATGTACTTACTGGGCGCAGGCTTATTAATTACGATCGATCAAGCTCGAATCTGGGCTAGAGAATCGTTTTCTTTTTTTTTTCCCCCCCCGTTGAGTGAAACTTCTGTAGTCACGCTATTTAGCCCGTAAAAATCGAGCGCGTCGTATATTGCGTCGCGTAACTCTGTCTCTCTCGTGCTTTATTATTGTATGTTCGTGTGGATATATGTGTATTTAAAGTACGTACTTACGCAGCGGTAAAAATAATTTATACTTTTGTGGAAAAATGTACGTAAAAATTCATAATCCAAAATTTGTTTTGTACTGTATAACAAGAAGATACATGATAATCAAAGGTGACATTGTCGTGTTTGAATGCAAGCTTCTCAATTCCATTAAAAGATGGAGCATTGGAAACTCGCAAGTTACGAAAAAATGTCCGATTAGTATAAGTATTGACTTGCGTATTTGACTTTTGAACTTCTCAAGTTAGGGTGGCCCGTGCTCTGAATTTAACAACGTTTTCTCCTCCAAGCGCGGTCAAGCACTCTTTACACCGCATAAAACTACAAACGATATCTCTCCGGGGCGACGATTCGTTAAAATTTGTCCGTATTCTGTGAAAAATTTCGCATCCCCAGGATGAAAATTCAAAATGTTCTACAAAAAAAAAAAACATCAAAAAATTTGACTTTTCGGATCGAGAGAGTGACAACGACTTTTTCGTCAAGTTCGAGATTCAATAATATAATCTCGATCGAACGAAATCTCGGACAGAGGCACTCGAATTTTAAGCATAGGCGCATGCATACGTATACGAGAATTCGATCGGCGCGCGAATAAACAATTATAAATACAAGCTGCTGCTGCTGCTGCTGCAGCTGTGCTTGCGCGCGAGTATACGCGACGGGGCAACTTTTATAAAATTGATACGCACACAGAAACGGTTAATCGACAAAGCAAATTTATTTATTCACGCTCGCCCCCCCCCGCGGCCTGCTGTAGCTATATATATAGCTGCTGCTGCTGCTGCCGCGGCGCCGTATGGCCAATCGGCGTACGCGTATATAGGTATACGCGTGCACGTTATTGAGCGCAGGCAAGCCGCGGCACGTAGGTATATACTATATCAATGGAAGCAGCAGCAGCAGCAGTTGCCCGAGCTTGCAAATTTCACCCAATCGAAGCCGAGCCGACTGACGCCGCTGTACTCGAATGTGTGCCTGCGCTACAGGCCGGGCAACGATAATTATTATTGTACACGCGGCCCGTTAATCGACACACTTTCCTCCTCAATTAGTCGCAGCCGATGTTTCCGCAACGGCCGACCCCTCCCCCGTTCGGGCGTGTGAGCGAGCCTCGAGTCGGGGTGTGGGTTATATTGCGCCTGTATACACACACACACACACACACACACACAGAACCGAGTGTATCGGGGCTAGTTTGTACAAGCATTTGGCCGGCGAGCACACGCGTTAAATAAATGATTCCCGATCACTCGCGATCCAGTTTTACCAACCACCGCCGCCACCACAGCGAGCAGCAGCAGCAGCAGCAGCCCCTGCAGCTGTGTGCGCTCTTTTGCTCTTTGCCGTTCCTACGTTATATAAAAGCTCTCTCCGCAAGCTCTGCAGCGATTCGTATACAAAATATATCGATTGACCCAATCTCTCTCTGAAGCATATATTATAATCGACGTACTTTTCTCGTTCCGTATACGTATATAGATGCGAGCCGACACTTTCTGGCGAGACGCAACGTGCCGGCCGAGCGCAACATGGTGCGCCGACTTCACGCCCCCGCGGTGGTGGACCCTCGCTCGCCGGAGCTGCTGCTGCGCTGCGAGTACGACCTGGGCGGCAACGAGCTGTACGCGGTGAACTGGTTCCGCAACGAGGACGTGCTGTTCCGCTACTCGCCGAGCCTCGTGCCCAAGGCGACGGCCTATCCGGGGGTGGCCGACGTCAACGTCAGCCTCGAGCACAGCAACGCCGAGCAGCTGCTGCTCATCGGCCATCAGGACGTGCAGCGAAGTGAGTCGAGTTTTTTTCTCCTTACAATTATATGTAGAAAGTATCGAGCGCATTCTGAATTAGCTGAAAATAACAGTTTACTTGTTTCGAAATATTTCGATCTGTTTTCAATCGCGTCAAATACGATATTACTTTAAGTCTTTACCGCTAGAGGGCGAGTACCTTTATTTATGTAAATCCGCAAGTGACAGAGTTAAAATAATTGTATATATCAATCTAAATTTTATAAATTGTTTCGTTTGTGTATACTTATTGCATTTCCGAACAATGTGATTGATAATTGAAACCGGTCTCTGCCACTAGATGGCGACTACCTCATATGCGTAAATCCGCAAGTGGCAGAGTCAAAATAATTGTATAAGTCCAAGCACTATTTCAAAGCAATTCATACAATTAAACATTGCCAGATTATGTATAAATTGCAATTAATTACATCCTTGCAGACATGAAGTCGTACGAGGGTACGTACGTGTGCGAGGTGTCGACGGAGCGGCCCTTCCTCACCGACTACGGGGTGGCCAACGTCAGCGCCGCCATCCTGCCCAAGGCCAATCCCGTCCTCGAGGGCCTGCGCCACAATTATCAGGTCGGCGAGTTCCTCGAGCTGGCCTGCACCTCGGCACCGAGTCTGCCCCCGGCCGAGCTCTCCTTCTACCTCAACGGACGCAAGGTATATAATATATTATAGCGTTATGCCGTTGTTGCGAGTGCAAAATTTACACGCGAATTGTGATACGAATATCAAAAGGCGTATCTTTCGAACGTCGGCTTGATTTTTTTTTTTGTTCGGCGGGGACTCGAGCGCTCGTTATCGGTACAAAAGCTGCATAGATACAGTCGATCGCGGCCCGGGCAGAGAGTCGTTCGATAGCGCGCCAAATGTACGTTACACGCGTGATGCAGGGTTATTTCGCAGGTCGCAGGATAGCGATCTATGGGCGAAGGGAGGGGTGACACGAAGTGCCTCTAGTGAATACTACATACTCCGACGTATTTAGCACGTATCCGCGGGGAAACGAAGAGAACGCGAGAGAGCGAGAGATAGTCGACGCGTTCATCGTGCTGTGGCGGCGGCGGCCTGATGTGCATCGAGCGATTCGAATTATCAACGCCCCCCCCCCCGTTTATTCGAGAACTGTGTGCAATTGTGTCGAATTCTCTCGCATATAACACGCGGACACCGGGACACGGCGGAAAATTCAATTAGCGGCTACAGTGCGCGCACACACGGTCGAACGTACCATTATACCCCGCGTTACAAGGAGGGCTGCGCTAGATTTTTCCTAAACGCGATCGACCGACCGACCGACTGCATCATCATCATCGTCGTTGATGGTATGAGCTTAATAATCGTCGCGCGTCAAATGTTACTCAGGCGCCGAGCTGCGCTCCACTGGATATTCGCGGGCATAATTCAGTAAGTTTGATGGATACACGAGTTACGCATGCATCAGGTCGAGTACCTGTATAATTTCGAGTTGTCGAAATCATAGGCCGCGCGGCCATCATTTACATTCTAATTTGAATGGCACACGGCTCGCTCGGCTCGCTCGCATTAATTATTTCGTCGAAGCTTCGTACGTAGAGATCGCATACGATTTTCGTGCCTATGTGTGTGTGTGTGTGTGTGTTGCAGATGGACAAGTCGCGGACGAGAATCGACCGGTCGGGTAGGCCGAGCGCCGACGTGGCCTCGAGCGTGCGCCTCGTCCTCTCAACGAAGCTCGAGCGCCAGCACTTTCAGGCGGGCACGCTGCGAGTCGCCTGCGTGGCCCATCTGCCCAACGTCGCGGGCTCCAGTCGCGACTACAGGACCGAGGCGGTGGCCACCCTGGCGGCGAGGAATCAGCGCCTGGCCCAGGAGCTGCCGCCGAGCCTGGCGGCCAGGCCCAACTCCGCGGCCGCGGCGGCGGGAGGAGGACTGACGATAGACTCCTGGGGCATGTTCGTCTTGGCGGCGATCTGGCTGATAGCGGAAAATACGGAGATACTTTTCGCCTCGTTCTTGATACGAGTGTGAGGAGAGAGAGAAACATATCAGAGGGAGGAAGTATCGATTATTTGACGCTTTTGAGGTTCTTTTTTTGTTTACCAAAGTTATGGCATAAGGTAACTATAGTTGTGGAAAGATAATATACGAGCGTTTGACTTTTGTATTTCTATATTTTTATAAGGAACGTTCAATTATGTTGTCAATTACGCGGAAAAATTAATTAGATACATTATTTACTAGCGTAACTTATACCCGTACAAAGCTTTGTAAGCTCTGTACGAAAAATTATTTCAATTACATCAATACGTTTTATTATTATTATTATTTAGTCTGTAAGATTTCTAACGGTGCGTTGAAGTTTGTATATTGTTGTGCGCGAGTCAAAGGTCGGAGAGTTGAGCGAATGAGATTTTAACAAACTTTGAAAATTTTAATTCGAAAAAAATCTCGCAACGATCGACATCGTTCGAGGCACGAGAGAATTAAAATAAAATAAAATGCAAGACAAAATATGGTTATTGTTTCCTCCGGTTGAAAATGTTTTCGATTGTGTACAGCAATTTCCTCGCGTGCACATTTTTCGAATCGTCGTTTTCGCGTTTTGATCGAATCGCATTTCCCGCGCGCGGAAGAAAAGAGAGAGAGAGTCAATAAACGCGCGCATTTTTGCATCATTACGATCACATTATATGGGGAAAAAACGCCCACCCCCGCGCGCGTATTATGTTCGCGCAATAATTTGAAAAATAAAATTGTTTTTTTTTTCGACCCGCCGACTGCGAAAAATGCGCGTGCAGCGTGGGGCAGTTTAATCATATAATAAATGTGTATACAATGTCCGCGAGAGCCTTCGCACAGGTTTTTCGGGGACGCTCTATCCATATGTATGATATTTATATATATTATCGATCGTATAAATAAATATATCTGTATATCGTCGTGGCTCAATGTTTCGCCGAATCGCACGACTTTATGTGTACATAGTGTAAAAAGTATATAATTGTAAAACATGTTCGAAAAAAAAACAAGAGAAAAAAACAAAAAAAAACAAACAAAAAATGAAGAAATATCGATGTTCATTAATCCACCCTTTGCACATGTACGCGAACGCACGATGAAATCTCTTAAATAATTGTGAAAAACGAAACGAAACAAAAAAAATAAAGCAGAAACACTCACTCGTGTTGATAGTGCATCGTTCTATGTATTAAAATATGTAAGAGTCAGATCTAAGCCATTGTCATTGAAATAAAAAGTGGTTAAAAGTGTATAAAAATATGAAAAGCACGAAAAAGGAATCGAATTATTTCACCCGTTTCCTCCCTTCTCCTTTCCCCCTCTTGTGTATATAATAATAAACACGCATTCGCGCGCTCTACATTACTATATTCGTTATTAAGTGTACGCGACTCGGCTCGATCGCGGTTAGCGAACGTAAGCTTCGTTAAATAATATACATTGCATCTCGCGCGATTGAAAAGCTTCACCTGCCTGCCCCATACCTCGTTCGTACACGCGTTTATACGTATCGTATTAATGCGAGAAGCGACCGCACCGCGTTGATTCGGACGGAAACTCTAAACAATCCGATGCCGGTCGCAATTCAACGATATATATAAACGCGTCGAATATGACTCTCGAGTTCGATTGATCGCTCGATTCATTTTTATCGCCACCTCGTGGCCTTTGTCGAGGCTTCTTTTTTTCCCTCTCTATACCCACGCCGTACGTGCGAACCTCATATCGTACTGAAATTACCCCTGCACTTTTTCAACGGGGATGTATGGAGTATTCTTTCAACCTCCACGGGATTCCTTTAATTACGCGAGCGAGCGCGCGAAACTGACAAAAAGTCGGTGCTGCGTCGGGAGTAGCTTTTGATTATATTGACGGCGCTGCTGCTGCCGCTGCAGCGGATATATTCCCACGAGGTCAACCGCGAGCTAATCGATAAATCGAATGAAGCTGTAGCTCCGAAGACGGAGGTATGAAAAGAAGCAAAAAAAAAAAAAAAAAAATAGGAAAATATGAAAAAACAGTATAACCGCAATGAATCCATGAATTACCGCTGCCGTACGTGTAATAGCACGAGATGATACTGCTGGGAAAAGGTAAAATATCGAAAATATCCAATATACGAATTGCTCTTTTTTTCTCTCTCTCTCTCTTTTATATACCGAGCAAATAAATAGCAGCAGCGGCCGCGCAGGAGTGACATAGTCGATCGGATCCTCGTCATTGTGTGTCGAATCGGTCCGATGTCCGCGTACATAAGCAAGTGTCCAATCGTTCGACATTATCGCGGCGCGTCCAAAGCTGTCACAAAAGAACGATATACTGCAGCTTCGTCGTGCGCTGGCGGCGTCATTATATTATATAAACCCGAGTCAATTTGGCCAAATGCGCGGCGCGTCATTGCCTCGAGGCATCCGTCTTCCGATGCGCGCTCATCGGTGTATATAATCAGGTAGAAGCAGCGGGGCACATCACGCGCGTTTGTGCCAAAAACCGCAACGGCGGCAGCGACACACAACAATTGCTCGGAGTGAAACTGTGTACAGCAGCAGCAGTAGTAGTGGTAGTGGTAGTGGTAGCGGTATAGTGCGAGAGAAAGAGAGGCTAATTCGGCTCTTCGAGTGACAGTGTCAGGGAGAGAGAGAGAGCCGTTCGCCGCTGATAAATGCGCGCAACCCTGCACCGACGACGACGACTCTCGTGGGGGCCTTTCACCTGCAGCAGCAGCAGCGACAGCAACATACATACGTATGTGTATATAGTTATAGGAGTCGACTGTTCGTTCCGATCGCCTATATAATGTATCCGAACGCGTGCAACTTGTGTATGCATATATACGCGCTGTTCGGGACACGCGCGCGCGTATTAATGTCCAGAAAGCCGCCCCAGCCTATATAGCGATGCGACAGGCCTACTGTGTGAGCAACGCAGATCGTCATCGGCCGCTCGGCCCCGGCGCGTTTATAATATATAATTGCGAGCTCATTTGCGCGTGACGCGCGCGCGCGATATACGTCCGACGTTGTAAGGCCTGATATCTACGTTTCGCAATTTAATTTCGATCGTATATTCGAATCGCTGTATTATATTATATATGTTCCGGATGGATTATGGACGTATATTTCGTCCGTATATGGCGACAGGAATCTTTGAAATCGACAATTTCCATATATAGATGGATCGAGATCGAAATGCGCGAAATGCGTTGTACGCCGCGACCGAGAGCTAAATGGAATGTGTGTAGGAGGGCACTCGATCTCGAGCGCTTTGTGACGACGACGACGACGACGTACCGCGAATGTTTGCAGGACGGACGGAGCTGCGCGCGAAATAATCGACGACGATCTAGATATAGGTATGGACGAGGAGGCTCGAGTAAGGCGTCTCGCTTTTGGTATTCGAATTTTAGTTATATAGGCAGCGCAATATATGTGTGGTCAACGCGAGCTCGATCGGTCGTGAGAGATATTTTTCGAGACAGCGAGGGAAGAACGTCTTGAAAAAAACAACAACAACATTCGTTTTCGATGAAAAGAAACGTTCGACATTTGGTGTTTTTTTTTACGCTAGTAAAAATGTGTTTTTCTTTACGCTAGTATTTGGTGATTTTTTTTTCATCGATTCGTAACCATAATTATAATGTTCCAAGTATTTTTGTTTGTTCTCCAAGACTCTGCGGATAGTTTACACTTTTTTTTTAGTTTTATACAATAATTCTTTATTTTGTCGATGGTTACAAATGCGTGCGCAGCACAACTTAGAATTGTACATATTATAATGATGGTAAAGCATAATTCCACTAGCCGTATACAAAATTGAGAAGGTTTAGCCTGGTTGTGGCTATTAATGTTTATGAAAAAAAAACATGATATGAAATATAAATCTATGGAACAATTATTCCAAAAAAACATATATAGTTTACCCATCGGTTCTCGCATTAATACGATATGCGTATACACGCGTGTACGAACGGGGTAGGGCAGGTGCTCTGACTTATACAGATATTTTCACTTTACCACTTGCAGATTTAGCGGAAGAAAGATACGTCGTCACCTAGCGGTAGAGTATGAAAATAGCATAATCGTATTTACTGGGTTGGAAACCCATCTTAAGTTTTGAAACAATTAAATTGACATTTTTAAGACATTTAAATTACGCTATTTGTAAGATAATTTGAAACATTTTAGATGGTCGGTTTTTTTATTCCATTAATACTGAGAATCTCTATACCGGAGCTGCGAAGCTTTTCTATGTACGACGCAGATCTTCGCAAGCTCGCCTTTATATTATAATAAAACCTGATCAGAGCACAACGCACAATCATTTACGTATACCGCAGGAGCAGAAAAAGTATGTATACTTATCGCGCTATATACAATATTTCATCCACGAAAAAAAGGGGGTAGAGGGAAAAGCAAAACCATACACAGTTCGATATATATTCAACGCCGTTCGATAATAGAGCGACAAGTGGAGACAAATGGAGATGAGATATAGAGATATCAAAATCGCGCGGGACAATGACTCGAACGTCGCTTCGGGAATTATCGTTTACGCACGCCCTGTCTCCTCGACGAACTTTTATATAACGTATATATAGAGATACGTACAAAAGTTGGCGCGCGGAAGATAATCGTCGTCGTCGTCGTCGTCTTCGCGGCGGCGGCAAGAGTTGGAGAATATCCTCTTCGCCTCTTGGCCGAAATCCTATCGCGCCAAGCCGTATAGGAAAACTTTCTCGTGTATATATACTCGAAGATTCGCGAACTTGCGTGTACGACGATCGAGGAGGTGTCGCGGTTATCGCGCGCGTATCACCTGGAAATGGCTTCGCAGGAACGATCGTCGTCGATATCTCCATGTAGGTGCAAAAAAAAAGTAAAAATCGAGTCATCTGGCCGCCGAGCTCAGCCGTCCGAGAAAATTGCCGCCGGATCTCAGGTAAGATGCACACACGTGTGTGTGTGTGTATATAGGATGCGATTTCCGAGATAGATCGAGCTCTGGCTGCGTACAAGATACATAGCCGTCGTAGCTCTTGCGTGAAATGGATCCGCAGCGATATAGGATGCGAATATATATATATACGCGCGAGGAGGAGGAGGAGGATCGATGCACGTAGACATTTTAATATACGCACGCGGCGGTAGCGGCAGAGCTCGACGTATATTATACACAGTCGCGTGACAGCTTTTCCCGGAACGCGCGGATCATCGTCACGATCTCGAGGTAACTTCGGCTTCTTTTTTTTAGCTTTTCAACGTTACACACGTTGTTTCGTACAGGTACCACTGGCATACATATACGGACGGACGTAAATTGGCCCTGGAGCGACACGCGGCAGCTCGCGCATTGATTTAATCGATCTCCTCCCCCGCCTGCCTATACCGCGGCTGAGGCACAAGAGAGAGAGAGAGAGAGAGAGAGAGAGAGAGAGCTTGATTGGAAAGCTGGCCATTACAGCACGTATAACAAACAGCAGCAGCGGTGTGCAGCTGTTGTTGTAGAAGTAGTAGTAATAGTGGTGCTGGTGGTAGCGAGGTATAAGAGACAGAGAGAGAGAGAAGAGTCGGGCGTGTGTCAACGCATAAATTTTCCACTCCAGTTAGCGATCGAGCACCGTGTATAAAGGAGGCGAATCGGGAGTGCGAGAGAAAGAGAGAGAGAGAGAGAGCACTGTATATATTACAGAGGCATTAATGGCTGCGGAAGCGATTAGGAAGTAAGAGGCCGCGCCGACGCCCTTTTTCTCTCACTCGCTCGCTCTCTCAACAAACAAGCTTTAGCGAGGGGCTGCTTTCTCCCCATTTTCCTATGCTGTGCACCATCATCGCCACCACCATCACCTACTCCGTTAATGGAATATCGATATATATATTCGTGTTGAGTGCGCCGAAACTATCGTCTCCGCGGCCCGTCCTCTCCTTTTTAACGTTAAAGCTTCGACATATATGTGGACGCGTCTTATCTATAGCACCGTATTGGGTATCGGATATCTCGAGCGTGTGTATGCCGATTCGACCGCGTTTCAGATTCGTAAAGCTCGCGATGATTATTTAGCTGTTTAAAATTGTCCAAGGCAAATAATTTTTGTTCGATTAATAACACAATTTCTTCGATAATAACATAGTTACACGGCCTTTCTATTTACTTTAGTCAGACTCAACTTTCCTTACGTGATTCGTAAATATTATTGAATCCAAGTTAGTCTGGCAGATGTGTCGTAACATTATTGACGCAAAGATCGATCGTCGCTGAAATTCCGAGTGAAAAGGATGAAGCCCAGTTGTTCGTTCGATTTTCCTCTCAAGTAATTTTTAATAAGCGAAAACGAAAGTGTAAAAATGTTTTTCTTCAAATTATCTTATTTATGGTTTCAGGATAAAAGAGGAACCCAGTGATGCGCCACTCATTGAGAATGATGACGAGATACCTGATGCTAAACATTTTCAATTCTTCGGATTTCCGCTAGAAAATTCGGTAAATATACACTATTATTATGATAAACATTTATTTATAAAAATTTTCATCTAACATAATACGTATTTTATTGCAGGCGCTTCAAGAACGTAACGGAAATCACAAAAGTAAACTTGACGACTTGGCAATTGAATTTGAGTGTAGAGACGCGAAGCGTATCGCGGATTTATTAGAGGTGACGAAAGTTGAAGATTGTACCCAAAATCGATTGCAGAATAAGGAAGATGAAAACAGTCATCGAACTCGAAATAAAATCAACACGAGAGCGGTAAAGAAAGAACCATTCGTGGACGATGCGAAACAATCGATTGGACATGGACTCGAAGCTGTTATCGACAATGCGTATGAGATATGTAGAAAGAAATGTTCGAACCAGAGTAATCTCAACATCCACATCGATAATTTGCACAATGGTGTCAGACATGCATGTGATATTTGTGACAAGAAATTCAAGAGTAAAAGCTATCTCAAGTACCACAATGATTGGGTGCATAATAAAGTCAGACAAGCATGCGATGTATGCGATAAGACATTCACACGAAAGGATACTCTTAAAGTCCACATCGTCTCGGTGCACAATGGTGTCAAACATGCATGTGATATTTGCGAAAAGAAATTTTCAACGAAGACTCATCTCAAAACTCACATGAATGGGGCGCACATCGGCGTCACTCATGCATGCGATATGTGCGGGAAAAAATTCACAACGAAAACTTATCTCAAACGTCACGTGGATGTGGTGCACAATGGTGTCAAACATGCATGTGATGTATGCCAAAAGATATTCACACGAAAGGATACTCTCAAAATCCATACCGTCTCGGTACACAATGGTGTCAAACATGCATGTGATATTTGCGAAAAGAAATTTTCAACGAAGACTCATCTCAAAACTCACATGAATGGGGCGCACATCGGTGTCGCTCATGCATGTGATGTATGCCAAAAGACATTCACACGAAAGGGTACTCTTAAAATCCACATCGTCTCGATGCACAATGGTGTCAGACATGCATGCGATATTTGCGGGAAAAAATTCACAACGAAAACTAATCTCAAAACTCACGTGGATGCGGTGCACAATGGTGTTAAATATGCATGTAATATTTGCGGAAAGACATTCACACAAAAGTCGGCTCTCAATACACACATCTCTTCGGTGCACGATGGTGTCAAACATGCATGTAATTTTTGCGGAAAGTCATTCAAACAAAAGAGTCATCTTAAAACCCACATTAACGCTGCGCATAAAGGTATTACTTATCCATGCAATATATGTGAAAAAGCATACCAGCGTCAAACTGATCTCCGTCGACACGTTAAATCGTCGCATACAAATAACACTCACACGTGTGATAAATGCGGTAAATCATTTTCACAAAAGAATAATCTTAGGGCTCACATAGTTATGGCGCGTCACTGACGCATTGCGACCTAATAAATGTAACACATTTATGTTAAATAGTATTCAAAAATTCACAATGTATAATCTACTGTATTTGTTCGTAAGATTAATTTAAACATTTTTATTTATTATATTGTATACTTTTCTGGTGATAAGTGATTTCATTACGTAAAATCACCGTCAAAACTTTGACGAAATAAATACTTTTTTATGGAAAAAATCCACGCTGTATTCTTTTAATCATTTTCTCTCGCCCAAATAGCTCGATAATCATTTTCAGGATTACCCTTGTCTTTTACCAAATACCTACATGATTATCTTACTACACACATCAAGTTTAGCTCGTTTATTTCATTTTAAGAAAGATACCAGGTGAACGAGAAACAGAAAAAAAACTTGCTTCGTTGATTCGTGCGCAGCTCGAGTGGCAAAAATACTACACACGCACATAGTGTGTCAATAAAGCTCCAACGAATATGTCCCTCGAGAGTCGTGATTCACGATCAGTAGCTATGGTCTACTTTACTATTCCTATCTACCCACACACACACGCGCGAGTAGTTGAAATAAATATTGTTTGCCACCGTGTACGTGTATGTATATACGTCGCGAGTGCGGCCCTTTGTCTCCGGGCAAGCGACTTATCGTCGTGGAGACTGCGACGACCCCCACAAGTCCATTATCACATTCTGCGAACGAAACAAAACGAAACAAAAAAAAAACAGCAAGAACAAGAGCAACAACGATGACGTCGCGGTGGAATAGAGAAAAAAATATTATTCACCTAGGATTCAGACTCTCTCGCTCTCTCTTTGCCCTTAGTGACAAGACTTTGCACCTGCGTGGACGCCGATACGGTCGTATAGTACGGTATATTATAGCAAGTAATTATAATCGATGTTTCGAAGTTGTAAATGGACTGGACACTCTCGATTCTATTTAGCAATTTTTCTTTCATTCGCAGGAATCATATACTTTTATGCTCGTCGTGCTGTTATACAAGAGTTATTACGTTACAAGATTTGTATGACTCGAACTCGAAACGAGAAGTGAGAAAGAGAGAGAGAGAGAGAGAGATTTAGCCGATTCGCTACTTTCGAGAGGTAAAATTAAGTTTTCACGCGATTATCTCGATTTGCTGCGTTTCGTAATATATATCTATGTATAATACACAGCCCACTCTTTCTCTCTGCACCCCCTCATTTATACATCATACTCGAGAATTCACGCCGAGTTAACCGAGTGAATTGGCCGAGGAAAATTTGATTAACGTCTCCCTCCACCTCGCCCAATTTACACTCTCGGCACGGCTCCGCAGGCCGTGTTCTAAGAAATTAAAAGAAAAAAAAAAGAGCTCGAGGCTCGCGAAGATCACACGAATTTTTCCTTCTTCCTTTCTTTGTCTCGAAAACGCGTCGCATAAATTACTCGAATATAGAAACTCGATGCATCAAGGAAGAATAATCGGCGTTCGGGAAAGAGAGTAATTTATAGGACGCACCGTTGGAATATATTCCCCTTGAGCGACGTTGCGCCCGCGCGCGAGTATGATAATTGTGCACGGCGCCGCGGAACTGATAGTTGAAAGTTTTATAATATATATATTATATATTGTAATCTCTCTGCGGAGCTGGGACAATTGCGCCCCACTAGTCGGTATGGATAGTTCGGAGTTGTCGGGTGGCAACTTTTGCAGTCTCGCTCTTTAATCACGATCGACGCTGCGTTTTGAAAAAAAAAATTTTTTTTTTTTTCGAAACGACACTTTTTCCGTCGCGTTGGGTATGACTAGTTAATCGTAGATTTTGGGCCTCACGGTTATTCAGCACGCTGTATATAGCAAATTATAGTACCATTAACGCAAAGAGTATAAAATTGAATTTTAAGCAGCCGTGGAACAAAAAAAATTCATCGTTCATTGGCACCGGAGCTTCGGATTTAACCGCTAGATGTCGTGATCGATTCCGAACGGGAAATAATAAAGTTTCGTCTAGAAAGTTTTAATTTACACATTGTATTGTAATTACATATGCCTCACTTATTTCTTATGTTGATCGTCTATTTTAATTTTTATTTTTTTTTTATTATTACGATGTAACGATACATATTATATAACCTACTATACATATTATACTGCCACGGTAGAAAAAGGCTACGTATATGCAACGTACTCGCCCCATCAATCAATTATCAGCCGCGCAAATCAACGTTATACCCACGGATTTTCCGCCCTTTTTTACTTTTATTTCATATACATCATACATCGAACTCACCATCGTTGTTGTGTACGAATCAGAGGTAACACGAGTTTTCCACGTAAGCCTATATAAAATGAGGACAAAAGTATGCGAACGAAACGAGACTTTTTTCGGGGGGTCGAGAACGACAGGCTCGTTAATTATCGCTCGTCAAGGTACAATAAAAATCATACGCGGCTAATAACCGTTCTCCTATATACACCGATCTAATTTCCGCTTCGACGTATTAATAAAATTATCACAAATGCATCGATCGATTTCGCTCTTCGACTTTCGCGATTAATTTTTCACGAATCCGAAAGAAGGTGGTGCCGCACGAAAAAAATCGGCCCCAACGTCTAGACACCTCGATAATATTCCCCGATCGCATCTCATCATATTTCCCAAATAAATTATCGACACGAAATATCGAGTCCGAGCGGTAGAGGACAAAATAAAACTTTATTTCATGCGATAAATAATGAAACATCCGCTAATGGCCTTCTCGCGGCCACGTAAGCAATTGAATTAGCCTCGCGAGTAACAACTCAGTGTCACCTGCATGTACTCGCGTGTACATATTACGCGGGTGCAGGGCGAGCTCTTAACGTACTTAGAGCCCAGACAAACTTCCTCCGCGGCTACGAGTTAATCAGTACTACTTTTTCCTTCTCTTCTCTCTCTCTCTCTCTTGCTTTCCCGTACTATATAACTACACGTATAGCGGCGGCGTAACATAAATACGTGTACTCTCGCAGAGAGAGAGAGAGAAAGAGAGATGTGCGGGGGGCAGCAGCCGGGTCGCGCTCGAGCAGCCGCCTATTCCCTATCCTACCCTCGTGTATGTAGCCTCTGTGCACTTACACACACAGGAAAAAGAGAGAGAGAGAGAAAGACGTCAGTGGCATTTTTACGACACAACGACTCGTTTTACCAGCATATCGTTAAAGCCGCTGCCGCTATGTATACGCGCGAGTAGAGCTCGTAAAGCACTTTTTTTCACTCCTCGCACGGAGGGCAGTATAACGCACGCACACAGCTGCGCAGCTTGCCTATCTCTCCGGCGCGAAGCTTTTCTTTCTCTCGGTACCGGCGGCTCTCGACGTCGCGCGTGTGTTTATATTATATATATAGACCACGCGCGGCAGCGGCTCTTGCTTGGCGGGTACGTTTGTATGTGTACACGGTGACTTCTTCTTTTTCGCGCGGGACCGACCCAGAGAGTCTATATGAATTTTCTCCTCCTCCTCCTCCGAGCTCACAGCTCGTATATACACTTTTTTCATCCGCCAACTTTTCGGCACGATCCAGCTGTTGCGATCTTGCGATGCGTATTATATACAGATATAATACTGTTACACGATACGACGTCGCGCGAATCAACGATGCAGCAGAGTTTCCAACTGCGCTCCTCCTCGAGTGCATCCGTGCGACGTTGTATTAGTACACTTTTCTCGTTAGTAATAGTCGAGGCGAATTCGTCGCATTCGCTGCGGAAATTATGGGCCTGAATTTTCATGCAGGATACTCTTTATCTAGTATCACTGATTGTGGAAATGAATCTTGCCCGGCTGAAAAGTTGTCAGTTATTGTTTAAATCGATTTATTTAAACAAATAGGGAATAATGTAAAATATTGCCTTGAAACATTGTTATCTAGGTAATTTGGGCTATTTTGAAGAGAAGATGTCTCTTGGTAATTTTCTCTAAAAGGCTTATTTTCCGAGTAATAGGCGATTCAAAATGAAAAAAACGCTCATTTTGCCATTTTCGATCGCTTATAACTCTATGAAAAAGCAATATTTTTAAATTCCTACCACGTCAACTTATAGTTAAAAACGTGCTCTACAATATCCTGTGTAGCCATCAGTCATTTTTTTATTGCTAAGGGTCGAATTTTCGACTGTTAAATCGATGTTTTCGCTGGGCGCGAGCGCCTGACCTACGCCACACTCGCGCCTCGCATTTGTAAATTCAAAAATGGAATATCTTTTTTTAAGTACTAAGATGAATAAAGTGCAGACGATGTAATATTTTTTATTCAAATATATTTTCACAGCTCTCAATATCACAACCACACATTAAAACACAAGATACATTATTTTTTTTACAAGAACAAGCTTTTGTTTTACAAGACTTTGTTCACTTACATTTAGGAATAAAATTATCAGGTCAGGTATACGCCCCTATTTTCGATCAGTTAGGCTCAAATTTCAATCAAATTTAAATCAATTTTTTATATAGGATTAAAACTTAATATCTGATTTTGAGTAATGTATGTCTGTTGAAGATGTTCGATTCGTTCAGCCAATTATTAAAAAAAATGTTCTTACGGACAATTAAGTTGTTAATATTAAGCATTGATAGAATACAGGGACATGATCGAAAATAGGGGTATATACCTTACTGATGAATTGTTTAAAAAATTCGGCAACAATTTACCCGCTTCGTTATATTTATAACCAAAATCTGAAAAGTTTAATACATTATAATATGGATTCAAAGTATTTTTCCATGTGTAAGCTTGTACAGATGCTCTCAAATGGAATGGAGCTGAAAAGCCGGAAAAACTAAAGTTAGATCTAACTCGAGTAGCCGCGTGTCTATTATCAGTTTTTGACATGTTCGAAAATTTTGCACTCGCTGCTGCGTGTGCAACGCGCCGCTGCGGCGTAGGTCAGGCGCTCGCGCCCACCGAAAACATCGATTTAACAGTCGAAAATTCGACCCTTAGCAATAAAAAAATGACTGATGGCTATACAGGATATTGTAGAGCACGTTTTTAACTATAAGTTGACGTGGTAGGAATTTAAAAATATTGCTTTTTCATAGAGTTATAAGCGATCGAAAATGGCAAAATGAGCGTTTTTTTCATTTTGAATCGCCTATAACTCGGAAAATAAGCCTTTTAGAGAAAATTACCAAGAGACATCTTCTCTTCAAAATAGCCCAAATTACCTAGAT